CATAGGGCTTATAGTTACTTGGAAATGAAACCTACACCCAAAACTGCACCAAAAATGTTAACCTGCTCCAAAAACATTAACCTGGTCATTCCTTTGCTGAAATTGCAGCATCTGAAACTTTGACTGGTACAATGAAACACACTAGAACCATCTTCCATGCATGTCTAATCAATATAGGACATAGAAGTACTTAAAAAGAAAACTGCTTCAAAAAACTTAACCTTAACCTGGGACGCCGAAGCCGACGCCGACGCCGAGGGTATTACATAAGCTCCCCCAACTTCGTTGAGGTGAGCTAAAAATCAGTTCTTGTATATGCATATTTACTTTAAAAGTAGGCTATGTCATAAGAATAAACAACTAAGGAATATTTCTGCCTAAATTATAGGACACTTGCTAAAGCATTACAAGGAAAGGTAATGTATCTAAACCCATCATGCTACCCATGTGATAGAAAACCTCATCTGAGCCTCTAGCATAGAAAAGCCAAAAAATAAGTACATGTGCTAAATACTGTATCCTTTTTTTAATTATTGTAATGTTTACCTGTATTACGTATTTGTGTTGTGTTTCGCAGCGTCTTTTTAATTTCCACCATTTTCTCCTGAATAAACACCTCTCTGTCAGCATTTTCCTTAAAAAACAAAAGAACAAAATCATTTAAGCATTTTAAAAATATCCAAATCCTAATACATTTCAATTTATTTTAAATTGTTGACAGTACATGTCCATTCATTCACCTTGAGTAGAGTCCTGGTGAGGTACCTCTCTGTTACCACAGCTGGGATATCCACTTTACCTAGGTGGAAAATCTCCACATTGATGTGGAAAGCCCTGTCACAGGTTCTAGCTGGAGGACAGAGAGAACACAGGGTTATGTTCTTACAGGTGCTCGGACAACAATCAGGACAGCAATTTCCAGTCAAAAATCAAAATCTTGTTATTGTATATCTTAAGAATGCAAAATATTTCTTAATACTGGTATGTTTTCTATTAATTTGATTTAATCGAGTATGCAAACATTCAAGACAGAGTAACTGTGTACAGAAACACATTTACCCCCATTTTACTTTTGCCCCCTTTTTCCTCATTGGAAGTGGACACATTTTAAACAGAAAGTTCAAAGACTACAACATTATCTTTTAAACACAATCATGTCTGGGTAAATTTACAACAGTGTTACAATCATGTTTGCAGGTGTGAAACGGCCAAAATAACCCTGTATACAGTACGTATTACAAAAAGCATGAAGTAAAATTAATTGGCAATATTTACATTTGCAAATATTTTCCCTTATATAACACTATTTGAACAAGGCGTTTTTACAGTTTTGAAAAAAAAAACTTTATGGATTTCAAACTTTACTTAAGTTCCTTACTATTTGTAATAAATCAGTCACAAATGTAAATATAAGTAATAAGGTATCATTTTTTGAGTTTTATTGGGATGTAAAACGGGTTGGCACATGATCAAATTACGTGACCAACCCGTTTTACATCCCAATAAAACTCAAAAAATGATACCTTATTTCTTAATTAACTCCTTACTTTCATAAAGAACAAGGCACAGTTTCAATACAGATATTGCCTTGTGTTTTTCTTAAAAATGAAAGTGATATAGAAAAATTAAAATTCATGCTTTCCGAATCCTTGAAGATCCATGCCTAAAGATCATACAAATCATTTTTCTCTCATGACCTTCTAAGTGTTAATTGTGACGTCATAAACTTGTGAATTTTTCCATATTTTCTTGAAAAGTTGCAGAGGACATCAATTTTCAATAGAATTTTCTTTCAGATAACATTGTACACAGGCGTCGCCCACAACAATTTTGAGATATGTGATTTTTCTAAGAATTTTCCACAACATATCCCAAACTTAAAGTGGCGACGGCTGTGGACACTATTTTCAAAAGTAAAATAACCCTTAAAATGAGTCATTTTCAGACATTTTCTGTTTGAAATAGAAAGATGCATCAAATTAATGACATCATACATGTAAATCCAGAATAATACTCCTTGCCATATTCCTTCCAGATTTATCATAGTCATATACATGTAATCAACTAATATTTAAGCCAGTTTCAAAACTTTTGAAAACATTTAAATTTCAGGGCACAATAAATCTAAAACTGTACCTTCTTCTTCCTTAATTTATTCAAACTAACATGTAGCATTACTGATAGTACATATACCTTCCAGCCTTTCTCTTAATTTTCTATGAAAATATTTCTCCAGTGTGGGTCGATGTGATCGGAACTGATCCACACTGAAAGGTACCGCCAGGTTCTTCATTTCACTCTCTAATGACACTTCTAATGACATCATCATAATCCACTCCAAATTTTTTATGGAGATCTTTCTGTAATCTAGTTAGATTCAAAAGTTTAATAGAAGATTATTCATTGCTGTTTAAATGTATAAGAGATATTTTGATTTAAAGACTAGTGAAGCATCAAGATTTATTAAAATATATGATATTAGCAAAAATGCTTATACATGAACAGAACAGCAAAGGGAATTTCAATCCCTGTGATTCCAAAATGCTCTGTAATTTTAAAATCTTCCTCGTGTGAAAAAGGAAATTCTTTTACGTCTAAAACTATTTATGACAATTAACATTTTTAATCAAAGCTTTTTTTTGTAAATTATACACTTCCCTATCACCAGGACAGAGGATGCTGTTCAACCATCATATTACATGAATTGAATTTTCTACATTTTCTGGAGTAATGAAAATATTTAAATTATAATTTATTTTAGATATGTGTTCGGTTTTGCTCTTCTTTCTGTCCTGATTCTGGGGAAATCAATTTCACAGATGGTGAAAAGCTTTTAGAAAATTTCCAAGTAATAAATTACAATGTAATTCTACTAGAATAACACTAACAAAAGAAAACAACAAAGATCTTGCTATCAAATGAAAGGTCTTGGCACAAGAATTAAATATGTTAAATATGAAAGCACTAGCCCTAACCCTTTAAAAAGTTATTGTTAAGGTTTGCTTTTTAAAAAAAGGTCAAACTCCAAGGAAAAGGTCAAAGGGTCAAAGGTTTTGGTATTCAATAAAAGGTCTTCTTACAATAATTACATATGTGAAATATGAAAGCCCTATTCCTAACCGTTTTAAAGTTATGGACAAGGTTAAAGTTTTTCAATAAGTACGGAAATCTCCAAGGTCAAGGTCAAAAGGTCAAGGTTGTTGGTATACAATGAAAAGTCTTGCAACAAAGAATACATACGTGAAGTATAAATGTCCTGGTATCTACTGTTCAAAAGATATTGCCAAAGTAAAAGTTTGGAATTTTTGTGTAAAAGTGGGTCAAACTCATAGGTCAAGGTCAAAAGCTCAAATTTGGTGGTAACGAAAGAAAGGTCTTGTCACAAGGAATACACATGTGAAATATGAAAGTCATAGCTCTACCAAATCAAAAGTTATGGGCAAGGTTAAAGTTTTTGCAGACAAACAGAGAGACAGTTAGACGGATGGACATGACAAAAACTATATATCTCCGAAACTTCGTTTACGGGGGCATAACTATAGTTTACTATTTTAATACTAGTTGTTTAATATAGAAAACTATAGTAAATAAAAGTTTTCACCATATAAGTCAAAATATTTTTACTATATGAATTACATCATGGGTAATAAAATTTATTTGGCAAGCGTTTCTTTTTTTCCTAGGTTTTAAAATGCCTCCAGTGGTATTTTTTAACTTTAAAAGTGGCCTGATCAGGATTCTTGAAAGCATGTTTTGACAGGTCAACAACTTAAAAATATCAAAATTAGCGATGACTAGAACAAATTGGAATAATGGTCTTCTTGGTAAATATATCAACAACAGTAGGATTTTTGACGTTTTATATTATACGAGGGTTGATCCAAAAGTAATTAATGTCACAGTGGACATATCTTTTCTGTATGGTGTCATATAATCAAAGACTATATACCAAACAAACTATGAACATATATAAATCTAATTAACGTATAAACTTTTGTCTAATAATGTTAAATTAAATTAATTTTATAGATGTTTAAAACATCAAGCAATGGGGGTGTCGCCGCGTCACATCTCAAGGTCACATTTAAAAGAATATTTTTTTAGGATGAGAAAGACAAACATATCCCCCCCCCCCAAAAAAAAATTCAAACGTGTCAAGTTATCGCCCAAAAATTTTAAAAGACAAAATTAACTTAGTATAAAAATGTTTTTCTGATTATCAGTTAGGATTAAATGACGCCATTGTAATTTTTTGATTTAAAAAATTGTGTTTGACTCTACATGATGCATTCAACAAAGTAAGTGTAAAATGGGGGGGGATGGGCGTAACGAGCAGATATGCATTTTTACTTCAAAATGGGGAAATTACCAGTATAGACAGTTTACACTGATTGATAAGACTCACAATGATAAAAAAAGTAAAGAAGAGTCATGTTTATAGATGATTTTAGCGATTTTAGGGAGTGTGATGGGTCATTGTATTATTAGAAGACAAGAAGGCTGAAAGAAGAGAGGTCGGAAGGATACGTTTAACATGGTGTCTGTTGTTGTCAAAAGACATTTGTGTATTTGTTATGTAAATGTATTAGGACACTGTCTTATTATACTGTTCATGGAATTTTGACAAAGGACTTTGTTATAAAAAGAGTGAATGCACAATTCATCTAAGAACAGAAATTTGTCAACATATTGGAGAATCTCAAATAATCTTATCGGGAAACGTTTTAAGTATGACGGCGAGTATCCATATCCTGACGTTATTTAGATGCGGCAACTACCAAATTCGCATATTGTATATAATTCTATATTTTTAAAAGTACTATTTACTTTAAATTAAAATTTTCAGGTCTGATTTGAAATAAATACTTTCCATCATTTATAATTACTGAGTATGTTGTAAAATGTATGTCGACTGGTAGCAATTTTATTGAAGTTGTGACGTTACTTTTAGATCAACTCTCGTACTTCAACCATTTGAAAGTACTCAGAGATAGGCTTACCTTTATTTACTTCTGTGTCACTAAGGACACGTAGTGATAACGATAAGTTCAATTCCTATCAAAGCTCCAAATACCAGACTAACTCCAGTTCCATGTGAAGAGCCCCAATTTTAAGCTGAAACAGAATTATCAAAATTTTGAAAAATGAAAGTGATGGTAATTAACGCATAGAAAATGATACTTACATATCGAATCTTTAAATTGGGCAAACAGCAATGGTTCAAAAATGCAAAAAAAAACAAAAGCTTTCAATAACAAAATTATTTATCACTTTCGCAGTATGCAGTTTATTATAGGAGACGTATCGTAACCTTCACTTTTTTCATCGTAACAAAAAATGCTATGTATTACTCAATTTGAATGGGTTTGCAAAATTTGGATTAAAGTTAACAATTTTTAGATTTGTTTTAAAGCGAATAAGAAAAGTGATTTGATGACTCTAACCAACAATGCAGGTACTTTTATTAAACATCTTTATAAATAATTTGAACCATGGAAAGAAATAGCGTCTTTCATGCAAGGGTAACAATATTATATACATATCTGACATATATTTAAAAAAGAGTAGTACATGTACAGACATGCGTAAAAATACTCACAATAACCCTTTGTTATCTTTCTATCAATGTAGTTTCTTCAAAAGCATATATGTCTCCGCTTCTTCACGTGTGATTTTAATTTTTAAAATAATTTTCCTCAAAAATACATTCTCTAAATAATTTTTTTTCTTCTAAAATTGGCAGCATGTTATCGAATGACAAATATACCCATAGAGGTTTTGCCATTAAATTATATCATTTGTTTTTAAGTATTTTTAAAATACAAGTGTCTACATGTATATATATATATATATTTGAATACTTTCTGTTTTTCTCCTACTTTGAACTAGCACTCACTGTGACTATGAGCGCAATTTCTTCAGCTATGAGTTCAGTTCGTGTCTCATACTCGCACAGTACTATTTACTGCATATAAATATAGCACTCATAAATTTTAGCCATGAATTTTAGCATAAATATTGGTCATTTTTTAGTAGATGGTGAAATTCTATAGGAATGAAAAAATAAAACAAAGCATATTACTCTCGTTTGACTAATAGTCCACTTCATGTTGAATAAGATTACATGAAAAAAATCTAAGTGGATCTTTAATCAATTGCAACCAAAGTCCCAAAGCTATGTTTCAAATAAAATACAATAATGAACGTACCTTCGGGTACTATGAGCATTTGTTGCTCACAGTCTCCGGCTGCATTACAGCAGGAGTAGCCAATAGAGACACCACTTGTACAGTTTCTTACCACTGTGTAACCATTCACGGTTTGTGTCTCGCCTGCCTGGTCATCGTAAATCTGGAAGATTTATGACACTTTCATAAACAACTTATGAAACTTAAAATTCCTCTCAGGAAGTTTAAAATCAGATTTCCTAATGAGACTTACGAAGGCAAGGGCCTACTGGAATAAATTATTTTAAGTACATGTACTAATGTACTTATACGTTAACATTTAGAATTTCAATATCATTGGATATTTATTTTCATAAATCTTCAGTATAATATAATTCAGCAGCATTTGTCCACCCTTATACATTTTCTATTAATTCTGATAAGAGAAATAGGGCTAATAATCATTTAACATTATTTAATTCAGTATAAATCCCCTCCCCTTCCTTCATAATTTCGTTGTAAAACGTGATACCATTCCGTTCTCTCCTGTAAAACATGTTGATACTGCGCATCCCTCTATTTGTTCGGGTTTTCCAAAGCAAACACCTAAGAAAAATATTTATATCAATAGCAAAAGTAAGTCGTGACCTTATAAGAATAAAATTAATGCTTTCAAAATGTATGAATGTTACCTTATAGCAGGTTATGTTAGCGGGGGTGGTAATTCTGACTTATTTTGGCTTATTTTGTGATAGTCAGCTAAAATTTTAATCACTAAAATGGTCAATGCTCTTATGAGTGTCCAACTGCAAAGAGTTTAATCCCTGCCTCCGCTTAAATAAATTAGCAAAAAATAATTAGCACACCTTAGAGCAGGCAAGAAGCCAAATTTTACACCCGCCAAGAAAACCCACTATGCGGTATTACAATTACACAGAAAACAAACAAATGTTAAAAGACTGTCCATAAAGAAACTTACACGACCAAGTGTATGACCCTTAAATTGTACCTCATATATCAAATCATTATTACACTTTTCAAAGCTTTTTCTCTTTTACATACCTTTTACTGACAATCGTAAGAGATACTCCGATGTGTGTTGTGTGACGTTGACATAATTAATTACAACTACATATTTTGACTCATCACTTTTCTTCACATTCAGTAAAACTAAATTTCTTAGCTGTGATGAATCTTTATGATTGTGGAGGACACGATCTTGGGCATCTCTGAAGATTTCAAACTTGTTTTCAGCTACAGTGTATTTGGCGAAGCTGGGATCCCCTGAAACATCCTGTTTGTACCAAATATAGCTTTCCACAGTACGGTCCTTCTTCTCAGGTAAATCAAAGGACAACGTGACATTGTCACTTATGCAGCCAACGATGGTTTTTTGGACATCTTGACCAATTACTGCAAAGGAAATGCAGACTACTAGTATATGGAATATAGAATATAAAATAAGGTGTGAACGTTTTATGGAGAACTTATATAGGCTTACACTGCAAGTGTATCTAACCTCGTCTTCAAAAAGTAAATTGATTAATTAGTTCAGTTTTTCACTTTCTGAATTTGTATTTGATCCTTTTTTTTCAATTGTTCTACGTTATATTATTACATGTAAAATCATTAATATTTTAAAGCAAAAAAAGTTTACGCATATGTTTACTTGGTTGAAATTCAGCACATATGATTATATATAAATTATATTTACTGAACATGGTGCTGAGATATGAGACTATAAATCGACATAGAAAATGAATTCAAGTATACAAACCTTGATAAGCAAACACAAACACAAGAATAAGACATGATGGACTGCGTATTGGATTCATAATAATGAAGAAAAAAATCACAGACACAAACCCAAAGCTTTAGTCGTGCATAGCATGCAATGGAGATAACAAACACCATTCAAGCTCAAAAGTAAAAAAAGCAATACAAAAAGGAATAGAGCAAACACGGACCACCGGAACATCCATGTGCTCCTTATGATTAGGAAATAACGGGAAAATCTTTTGAATTGGACATATTTTATTGTAATATACATATACAATGGTGTGGGCACAAGTTCTCAAAACTTATTTCGCCCTCTCCCTACATGGAAAGTTTATAAAGTTTAATCTACATATGTGTTACATAGTTTTAGAAAAATATTGATAAATTCACATGACATGATTAATAATAAACTGCAAGGACGTGTGTGATGTACAAATGCTATACACAATCATGTACAAAAAATCATTTAAATCTGCCAGACTGCTGAATATATGAATTTACAATGGAAAAAAATATACTCATTTTCAGCAACACTTAAAGATGAATCGCCCTACAGTAACGTATGGTTGTCAACAATGTGAACCTTATCGAATCTCAGAAACTTGTCGAAAAATTCTTTCCTGGCCTCAGTATAGTTAGTACAGGAGAAAAAATAATGGTGAGTGTCTTCTATTTTTTCACAAGAACATGATAGACTTGATATAATGTTACACCAATAAAGATCAATATTTAATGCACAGTTATGTCGAAGTCTGGTGTGTAATATATTATTACGTCTTTTTCCGAAACTGAAATAAGCTGGAACTACTGCTATTATTTGTGCAACCGTTCCTTTAAAGGTAGATAGCGAGCAGGAGTTTCTAATTTCTAGCGATAATGAATTTCATTACTACAGTTGGTACAAATGATGATTTATAAGTTTGCAATCTACACATGTGTATATTACAGTTTTGAGAGTTTCGTGTTGGATAAGTGGACGCGTTGAAACGTAAATAATATCACAGAGATAATCAGGAAGTAAATAATTATGAATTTTATAAATAGTATGTAATCTATGTAGCTTGCGTCTATCACTAAGTGGCTCCCAGCCAGTTTCGAAATATAAAGACTCTCTAGAAGCTAATAGAGTCAGACCAGTAACATACGGGCTGCTTGTAGTTGTAATTTTTCTAGTTTTTCAGAATCTGATGTTGAACAACCTCCCCACACTACTGAAGCATATTCAAGCTGGGTGTGTATAAATGACGTATACTTCAGTGAAAGAGTTTTTCGATGTAGTTTGAATTTGAGCTTTTTCAATAGACCCATTTTTTGTATGCATTTGATAGTAAGGATTCAATATGGGACGACCAACTGAAATTATATGAAAATGTTATTCCTAAATGTTTGTGGGTGTGAGCGTATTCTAATTGGTTACCTTGGAAAAGAAACTTAGGGGATTCTAAATACTTTTATGTGTTAAAAACATTACTTTAGTCTTGGAGGCATTAAATTTAAGTAACCACTTTTTTGACCACTCTTTTAGAGATTTAAGATTATTATTTAAATTACTTTCAATTGATTTTACACATTTAGAAGCATGCTGTAAGCTATTGTCATCGGCAAATAGTCTACAAAAACTTGACATTTTATCAGCGACATCATTCACATAAATTAAAAATAACAAAGGACCTAACACAGAACCTTGAGGTACCCCGGCCTGCATTTAACATTTAGATTTAACAAATTCCTAAACATAACTCTTTGCATTCTGTTTTTTTAAATAAATTTTTAAGCAGTGATACATATCACCATTAATACCATACATCTTTAGTTTAAATAAAAGGTCTTTATGCCAGACACGATCAAAGGCTTTAGACAGATCACAAAATATTATACAAGAAAATTTCCCTTCATCAACTTGTCTAACAATGTTATCATACATTTCAATTAATTGATATACAGTAGAGTGACCAGGTAGAAAACCAGCTTGATATTCATAAAATGTATTATTACAATGAAAATAGCTGTATAAGTGCTTAAATAAATACGTTCCATGACTTTACTCACACAACTAAGCAATGAAACCGGTCTATAGTTAGACAAAACCGTGGGATCATCTTTTTTTTTAAAGTGTAATAACGTTAGAAATTTTCCAAATGTTTGGAAATATGTTTTTATTCAGTGAACGATTAAACAATAAATGAAAAGGTTTTACAATAGTAAATTTGGTAGCTTTTATCATTTTATGACTGATAGAGTCTGATCCAGTGGCCTTATTTACAGGGAGCATTAATAAAATATCTATTATTTCTTGTTCACAAATATGTATTTTATCAAATGTTGTGTTGCACATGGAGGTTTCTTCGGGTAAATCAGAATGTTCATCATTAACACTTAAAATTGAAGCAAAATAGTCATTTAGAACATTTATCTTATCGTCATCTGAAAACGCTATCTCATCGACCGCCATTTTTGGACGTGTATTGTAATGGGGGAATGTCTGATCTTGATTTGGTCTTAAAAATTTTCTTAACTAGTTTCCAATATATCTTTGAATTATTTTTGTTTGCATCATTGAGTTCAGATTCAATATCATTTTGGTAAATTTTAATTACATACTTTTTAATGTTATTAAACTTTTTCTAATTTGTCTAAAATTTGCCCAATCAAGCGGTTTTTAGTTTTTAGTGCCTATTCTCTTAATATTTTTTGTTTCGAAGTGTTCTTCTTAATTTTGAATCAAAGCAAGGTTTGTCTTTGGGTCTTATCATAACCAATTTCTCAGGAAAGCATTCTCTAACGCTGTCTAAGTATGTAGATGTAAAATTTTCGGTAGCTTTATCAATAGATTCTACCTTGGTAATTAAACATCCCCAATCTGTAGTTTCAACTAAAGCAGTAAGTTTTGTTATATCTGCATTTTTATAATCCCATATTTTTCTTATATAAGGTTCGCTTTTCTTAATACAAGTTTTGAGAAATACATAGGTATTGTAGCTTTACAATCACTAAGTGTTTTCTCAGTGTCTATCACGCCTGAGTGGAGAGCATTTAAATCTGTGCTGACCAAAACTGGGTCAATAAGAGTGTTCGACCTTTTTGTAGTCCGTGTTGCTTCGTGGATTGTGTTTGTCAATTGATAATTCAGTATGACATCTTGTAAAGGATTTGAACGAGAATCGTCTAAAAGATCAACATTAAAAGTCTCCTACAATGAGATATTTACTGGATATATGGGATACTAGTACTTTTTCTAGTGACCATAAAAGTTTATCCCAGAATGATTTATTATTAGGCGGACGGTAGATACAACAAAGGAAAAATTTACAGGTAGGTTCACTTATTTCTAACCAGACACATTCAATTGACGTAGGTTCAAGGTCATATCGACGAGTTGCATGAATGAATGAAGAAACATAAATCAGAATACCCCCTCCATGTGAATTTCTGTCTCTGCGAAAAATTTTGTCATACCCGTCTAACATAATGTCAGCGTTACATACATTTGTGTCTAAATGCGTTTCAGTAAAACATATGATGTCAAAATCTGTGACAAATGTCGCTAAACTTTCTATTTTGTGACGAATACTTCTTATGTTTAGGTGAAAAATATCGAGCGTTTGTATTTGGTCATTAGTAGGGCCTGGATTTAATTTTATATCACCAGATAAAAGATGTAGAAGGACGAGAATCTGAAACCAAAAGTGGAGGTGTATAATATTTCGTTGAAAAACAATGCACGATTGCAACTGTTTATGCTAGGTATGTATGAAGCATTAAATAAGGGGAATAACTCTGATTTCGTTGTACACCTGCACTTGCAGTAATAGATACCAATCGCGGCTCGATATTGTTGGATAGTATTACCTATCTTGGATTAAAAAGAGATTTGTGATCTTTGTAAAAATAAGCTAGTGAGCCGCGAGAAAAAATGTTTCGAACAAAAGCACATGATTTGGTTGCAGTAGATAACAAAACTGTGAACACATGATGAAAAGAAAATAAAAATAAACAGAAAACAAAAAGACTGAAAAAAGGAAAACAAACTGACAAAAAATGGAAAAGATACCGTAAAGGTAGTCCAAGTGTTTCAGTCAAAACTGAGATATGTACAAAGAGACTGATCACTAAAAGAAACACAAATGACTTTGCGTAATTAAGGAGAGTAAGTGGGAGTTTGTGCTAATTACATGTTTAAACTGATTATTACCTTATAATGAAATTTACATTTACGTATTATAACAGTGGACAACTGCAATGCTGTGCGCAGAAAAACAATGAATTAAAAATCCTCTCATTAAACTGTTGCGGAATAAAGAAAAAATTAAACTATCCAGAGTTTCAAGAGCTAGTGGGGCAATATGATATAGTGTGTTTCCAAGAAACAAAAACAGATGACTTAGATATAATTGAAATCGATGGATTTGAAATAAAGATGAAAAATAGAATTAAATATGGTAGAGTGAACTCTGGAGGTATAATATTAGCATATAGAAATGAATTAAAAAACTTTATTAATATCCATGAAACAGAATGTAAAGCTGTACTGTGGTTAGAAATCTCAAAAAAATATACGCTTTTTGAAAAAAATCTACTAATCGGAAATATATATATACCTCCAGAAAATTCAAAATACGGTAATAAGGATTTATTTAGTGCAATTGAACTAGAGATGCAAGAAATAACACATAGTGACAAATATGTTATGTTAGCAGGTGACTTCAATGCTCGAACCGGAACAGATATAGAAATTTTCAACATTGATAATAAAAAAAATGAACAATTTTGTGAAATCTTTGAAACCATGGAAGATGAAAATTTCCTTATAGACGATGTGTTAGAAAGAAACAACGAAGACAAAATTCAAAACTCATATGGGAAACTTTTATTGGAAATGTGCAAATTAAATAAGTTGTTAATTGTAAACGGACGTATTGGCGATAACTCATTAGGAGAGGTAACGTGTAAAGGTTCGAGCACTGTAGACTATTTTCTTTGTGATTATTTTATTCATAAGTATATCATGAATATGCAAGTACTTGAACAAAACAAATTATTTTCTGATGTTCATAAACCTATTGCTTTGTATTTAAAACTACAAAAAAATGATTTTAGTATGAATTGTTCAAATATAA